AAGAGCGTCAAGGGCCTCTCGCTGCAAGACGGAGGCTTGGAGTCACTGCTCTTCTTCCGAGACAGGTGCAGCTGGGCATTGGTGAGAGGCGTATCAGGCATGGTGTTAAATATCTGCAAATAAAGTTTCACAGAAGGTCACACACGTCTGTGAACTGGTAAGAAGGCACAGAACAACTGAAAGCTTGGCAGTGACTTAGAAGCAGCAAGGAAAGATCTGAAGAGACCACTGGCACTTGCTCAAGACGTCACTGTAAACATTTCTAGGAACTGGCACTCAACATTCTCCTTGGGAAGTTTATCCCAGACTTTGGTAACTATTTACTTCCATTTCCAACTGCTATAGCTGTTACGTCTACTGATCTTTTTGTTGTTCTCTCCAGAAGAAATGGAATACATTTTAATATGAGCCATTGTCTGATCTCAGTCTCTTGGCTACCTTTGTCCAGAACCAACTAGTTGGAACTTCTTTACTTTACTTCATTTGTTCTCTTTCCTAGTTCTTTTACTTATTTATTTATTTTGAGAGTTTTTAAAAATTTTTTGGCTATAAGCACATGTGCTCACTGGAGAGAAAAAGAGACAGGAAGCAAGAAATCACACCCCCCTTCCCCCATGGGGGATGGCTATGCCACAATTGCTTCTCTTCTGTTCTCCTCACAGGACTTTGGGCACGCTCGCACATGATCCTGGTGTGAGTTTTACACTGCTGGGTCCAAGACTCAAACTGCAGTGAACTCTGTGAGAGTCCAGCAATGTAACCATTATGCTATCTGTTGGTCCCAAGAAGAAAAGCCTATTTTCCAGTTTTTTGTTTCCAAGTCATTTTATTTAGCTTTATTTATTTATTTACTTATTACAATTTGACCAGAAAGGGACAGAGTGAGAGTGAGAGTGAGACAGAGAAAGTGAGAAAGCAAGCATCTAGGTCCGGGACTGGATCATGGTTGACTTTGTGGGAGTCCAACATCCTTAACCACCACGCCACCTGCCACCTGCCCCCCGGCTTTTAATAAAGAGTTATTTATTTAATTCCGTTTGGTATTATTATTATTTAAAATTTGACCAGACAGAAATAGAAAGAGAAAAGAAAATTAGAGTGCAAGCTGCCAGTTCTGGGACTCAAACTGCTGTCAGCCATGTGGGAATCCAGTCCCCTTAACCACCATGCTACCCGCCAACTTCTTCTTAACAACTGCTTCACAACTTTCTTAGACTATAGAACACGTGTTTAAATAACATTCCAAAACAACTCCAGAGCAAGGCACCAATTCCAAACCATAACGACTGTCCTCAG